AAAAAAAAAAGAAAATAATGAAGTGACATTTTAACATTACCAATTAGTGACAACATAGGTACCCAATGCTGGTACTATAAATTGGCATCCTTTTAAAAACCCACAAAATGTCATCCCTTGGATCCAACAATCTCAAGCCATCCTCCTGCCTCAGCCTCCTGAATAGCTAGGACTACAGGCGCCCACCACAATGCCTACCTAATTTTTCTATTTTTAGTAGAGACAGAGTCTCGCTTTGTTCTGGCTGGTCTCGAACTCTGAGCTCAAGTGATCTTCCTGCCTCGACCTCCCACAATGTGAGGGTTACGGGGTAAGCCACTGCATCTGGCCATCAATAACTTTTTAAATAAGTTTTATTGACATAATTTCTATGCCATTTATATGGATCCATTTAAAATGCACAGTTCGGCTCGGTGCCTGTGGCTCAAGTGGCTAAGGCGCCAGCCACATACACCTAAGGTGGTGGGTTCGAATCCAGCCCGGACCTGCCAAACAACAATAATGGCGCAACCAAAAAGTAGCCAGGCGTTGTGGTGGGCGCCTGTGGTCCCAGCTACTTGGGAACCTGAGGCAGGAGACTTGCTTGAGCCCAGGAGTCAGAGGTTGCTGTGAGCAGTGAAGCCATGGCACTCTACCCAGGGGGAAAGCTTGAGGCTCTGTCTCAAAAAAATAAATAAATAAACAAAATAAAATAAATAAAATGCACAATTCGACTCAGTGCACATAGCTGAGTGGTTAGGGTGCCAGCCACATACTCCAAGGCTGGTGGGTTCGAACCCAGCCCAGGTCTGCTAAGCAACAACTGCAACAAAAAAATAGCCAGGCGTTGTGGTGGGCACCTATAGTCCCAGCTACTTGGGAAGCTGAGGCAGGAGAATCACTTAAGACCAGTAGTTGGAGGTTGCTGTGAGCTATGCTATGATGCCATAGCACTCTCCTGAGGGTGACAAAGTGAGACTCTGTCTCAAAAAAGAAAAAAAAGTGTATAGTTCCTTGAAATATAATAATAAAGTTCATAATTCCATGACTAGGCAAGGTGGACTTATGCACTCTGGGAGGCCAAGGAGAGAAGATCTCTTCAAGCCTATCTGTGTGTTGTTCTTTTTTATGGCTCAGTACAATGCCATTGTTTGGATAGACCACAATTCACTTGTTGGACATGAGGGTTATTTCTACTTTTTGGCTATTGTTAATAGTGGTACTTTGACCATTGGTATAAAAGTTTTTGGGTGTAGGTTTTCACTTCTCTTGGGTAGATACCTAGGGATGGGATTGCTGGGTCATCTGGCAACTCTAGGTAACCTTTTGAGGAACTGCTGGGCTGTTTTTCACAGGGGCTGCCCTTTAGCAGTGCGTGAGGGTTTCAATTCCTTTACATAATACCTGTTATTATCTTTATTTTAGCCATCCTTGTGGATGTGAAAAAGTATTTCATTGTGGTCTTGATTTTCATTTCCTTTATGAAAAGATGTTCAGCATTTTTCCATGTGCTTTTTGGTCACTTGTTTATCTTTTGAGAAATATATATTCAAATCTTTTACCTATTAAAAAAATAGGGTTGGCCAGAGTGGTGACTCGTACCTGTAATCCTA